AGGTTTGTCGTTTTTGTTCGAGCGCAGGAAATTTGTTGAGCAATTTTTGAATCCGGAATGGATTTTTTTAAAAACAGTGACAAATGGTCCATGCAGGAGAAGGGCAGGCTATGTTCCGCTATAAATGCACTTAACTGAAGTTACAAGGTTTGTACCAGTCTCGTTTCTCTAGTGTTATTTCTGAACTGCTCCGCAATAGTGGTTTGACTATTCGTAATACAAATTGATCTGGTTTTATGCGTTTGGGTATTCTTGTGGCTTATTAAATCTGATTTGCCGGAACTCACTTTAAGAAAGGCATTGCATACCTTGCAAAAAAGTTCTTCATCACCTGCAGCAGTTTCCTTTTTAATTAGCCAATCACTGAAATCAGCAATCCATGAGGAGCATATCTTTCGCCTATTAGTTTTTGGGACCTGATATATGAATTAAACAGAAAAAGCCTTTACGTGTTTATAGGTCTGCACTTACATCTTCATTTTCGTTCAGCATAACACTCTCCTCTTCACAAGCATGGTTATTACCATCTGCGAGACGAATTTCAATGATTGAACATAAATACATATATGTATTACTGCACTTGTGAATGCGTTGACTTTACTTCAATATAAATAATTTATCGGACAACTTACCAGTTCGAATCAAAAATCTGTCCATTTTTCTTTTTGTTAATTTTTATTTACGCGCTGAGAAGTAGTGATGTGTAATACAACACAGTGCTGTGTTACTGTGCTAACACTCATCGATGTGCCGCACGCACAGGCACACTTTTCGATTAAACGATAGCACAGTAGCACACTTGGCACAGTATGAAAGCACAAACTGGGAAGTGTTTTTAGCACACATGGCACACTCTGCTGTGTTGAGTGTTCTCGCCGCCAATAATCGCAAAACATAAGGAAATAGCAAATTCGAGCGAAGAGTTATGGAGTTTCTTGATCCACTTTCGATAGGTAGCGATAACACAATTGTGCCAACACAGTGTCTTAATACCTCATGGTGTGCGTATGCCACTGTGTCAACACACAAAAAATCGTGCCATTACCCACCTCTACTGAGAACGATTGTGGTGTAGCAAATGGAGAATGAAACCTGGTCTGATATTAGGGGTGCCATATAATTGCTTTTTACAAGTAGTGCCAATATTGTGCTTGAATCCAATGCACTTGGTTGCCACTAGTACACTAACATAAGTATTTTATAATAGGTAATTGAAATTGACCTTGGGGTGAATACTTTAAAAAGCAAAAATAAATAAACAGTAGAAATCGTCAATTTTCGGGAAAAATCGTCAAATCGTTTTTAAGCTCAAAACTCGTTTAAATGACGATAAAATCGTCAATTCGGCAACGCTGGGACGACGATAAGTCGGCCGCCTGTAACGTAGTTGTTGTGTTTGTGACTATTGTCCGTTATCCGTGCTTGTTGGACGACGATGAGCCGACCGCTTGCCGCTTAACGTTCACTAAGTCTTGACGATGCATAAATGCCTTTGGATTGCTAATGGTGTGCTTTTCTTTTATATTTAAAACAGATTGAACACTAAAACTGTTGTGTTGTGTTGTGTGTACGCTGTTTGTATATGTGTCGTTCTATGTATACGTTTATGTACAAGCCACGTGTTCCCGTTTTATAAGCGAATCTAATACACATATGTAACATCACATTGCACCCGGTTTGCTGGCAAATTATTAAAATAAAATTATTTTATTAAAACCCACTACAATTTTGGCGCCCCAACGTTGGGAAAACACTAAGGTGCAACGTGAGCACACAATTTTATGCAATCGAATACACCGGTTCGTCGAAGCGAGCGTATACTCAGTAAAATGGCAATTTCCGCGGAGCAATTCGAGCGGCTGATGCAAGCAGTAATGGCTTCCAACACCAGAACGGGGTCATTCAGTACTTGTACATCACGTTTTTGTGGCGAGCGGAATCCTTCCAAGGTAGAGGAGCTTATTTCGGAAATTTCTACGTCCAAAGCAGTTTAGAAAATCAGCGACGAGGATGCTATAAACGGTATGCCGATGCTCCTGGAGGACGACGCCTCTGAGAGGTGGCGTGGCGTGAAAGGCAATGCTGCAAATTTTTCGGATGTGGTCAATATGGTTCGAGATGCGTTTTCTCCTCCAAAACCAGCATGGCGTATATATGTTGAAATTTGTGAGGGTAGGCAACAGAGAAATGAACCTATCGATAATTTCATCCGGAAAAAGAGAGCTTTGTTCGCACAGCTTCCTAGTCCACCGGTTGAAAAAGACCAAACTGACATGCTGTTCGGTCCGCAGCAATGTTAATACCTTTGAGGATCTTTTGCGTGATGGCCGTGAGGCAGAACAGGTGTTGAGTGAGCGCAGCAAAACATGGAGCATGGCGGCTTCGGAAGCTGAAGATTTACTACGCTGTTCATTCTGCCGCAAGAAGGGTCACGCTGTTGATAAGTGCTTTAAGAAGCAAAAACAGGAGGTAGAAATGAAGAAGAATATCGCTGCTACTGCACTGGCTGTGACGGCTAAGCCGAAGTTGGCGTGCTATGGTTGCAACGCTCCTGGCTATATTCGCGCAAATTGCCCTACGTGCAGTGCGAAAACCAGCAATGCTCCAGCTGGATCTAGGGATGCAAACGATGCATCGATATTTTTGAAACATCGATAATATCGGTTCAAAGTTCGATGTATGCCATCGATGTTTACAATTTCCTAAAATCGCTAAATTGACGATACATCGATGCCAGTTTCAGCGATGTTTTAACATCGACTTTAGTGTGATTCAGACTTGAATCCAACTTTCGATATTAAAAATGCGTACATAATCATTAAAAAAGGATCGGGTTCCCGTTGAAATTTCAACGAAATTGGGGCTTGGATCTTTAGGCTCAGCGAACTTACAAGGAAGGCAAAGGAATGGTAAATAAATACAGGGAAATACATCCATATGTAAGTATTTTTCTAATTGAATTACAGAGAGTATGAATTAAAAAGTATTAAATTTTTCTTTCAATGTGACTACAACCTAACAAATTTGGAAACCATCGATATATCGATGTTTTTCTGGCGATGTATTTTAGCATCGATGTTCATTTGTCCGATGCATCGAAATATCGATGTATCGATGTTACTCCCCAAAATTTGCATCCCTAGCGNTTGTGAGGGTAGGCAACAGAGAAATGAACCTATCGATAATTTCATCCGGAAAAAGAGAGCTTTGTTCGCACAGCTTCCTAGTCCACCGGTTGAAAAAGACCAAACTGACATGCTGTTCGNTATGATACATGCGCAAATACGTGACAAACTAGTCCGCAGCAATGTTAGTACCTTCGAGGATCTTTTGCGTGATGGCCGTGAGGCAGAACAGGTGGTGAGTGAGCGCAGCAAAACATGGAGCATGGCGGCTTCGGAAGCTGAAGATTTACTACGCTGTTCATTCTGCCGCAAGAAGGGTCACGCTGTTGATAAGTGCTTTAAGAAGCAAAAACAGGAGGTAGAAATGAAGAAGAATATCGCTGCTACTGCACTGGCTGTGACGGCTAAGCCGAAGTTGGCGTGCTATGGTTGCAACGCTCCTGGCTATATTCGCGCAAATTGCCCTACGTGCAGTGCGAAAACCAGCAATGCTCCAGCTGGATCTAGGGATGCAAACGATGCATCGATATTTTTGAAACATCGATAATATCGGTTCAAAGTTCGATGTTTGCCATCGATGTTTACAATTTCCTAAAATCGCTAAATTGACGATACATCGATGCCAGTTTCAGCGATGTTTTAACATCGACTTTAGTGTGATTCAGACTTGAATCCAACTTTCGATATTAAAAATGCGTACATAATCATTAAAAAAGGATCGGGTTCCCGTTGAAATTTCAACGAAATTGGGGCTTGGATCTTTAGGCTCAGCGAACTTACAAGGAAGGCAAAGGAATGGTAAATAAATACAGGGAAATACATCCATATGTAAGTATTTTTCTAATTGAATTACAGAGAGTATGAATTAAAAAGTATTAAATTTTTCTTTCAATGTGACTACAACCTAACAAATTTGGAAACATCGGAAACCATCGATATATCGATGTTTTTCTGGCGATGTATTTTAGCATCGATGTTCATTTGTCCGATGCATCGAAATATCGATGTATCGATGTTACTCCCCAAAATTTGCATCCCTAGCGGGATCTGGCTTTGTAAATTTTAACTCTTTGACAGCAGTTGGCATTGGAAGAGATATTCCTATGTCAAACTTTTTGGTGCTCCTGGACAAGCTTATTTCGACACAGGAGCTCGTACAAGCGTCGCCAGCTCAAATTTGAAGCGCATAATGGACTTCCATAGTTGCAAATATGACAATGTAAAATGCTAAGTTACACTGGCAGATGGTAGCAAGTCGCTGCAAGAATGTGTGTCGACAGTATGCAAAATTGTGATCGGAGGAAAATGTCTGAATATAAAATTTATTATTTTGCCAAACGCAACCCAAAATCGTGCATTGCTCGGAGCTGATTTTCTTGAGCAAGTCGGTATAGTGTTGAATATGGGCCAACGGTATTGGTTTTTCGAAAGCACTCCCAATGTCCACTATGACTTTGCCGAAGCATGGCCACTGAAGCACAATTCGGTCGAAAGTGTCAAAGTAGCGAATGTCCATAGGAGGAAACCACCAGAAGTATTGGAAAACGAGCCAAAGCAGTATCAACGCGAAATCTGTATGTCCGACTACTCTCCGCATTCAGTGCATGCCATTTTCCGGGACTCACTGCGCGACAACGACACCACACCTGAGAGGAACTCAAATGGTGGACTGTTCACTGGAGTCACATACAGCGGCAAAGAATCTAATGACGTGGTTACTGCCCGTCTTGGCATGATTGATTTCAAGGTTCTGAAGGATACTGATGGGTTACACCTAAATTTTGAGCAAAAGCTCCAACTCGACAACGTGTTGTACAAGCATGAAGCAGTATTCGGTGAAATTGTTGAACCGACGCCTTATGCTGAGCACCGAATTAATACCGGAAGTAATGCACCTATTTCTTCACCACCGTATCGCCTATCATTTCCAAAAATGCGACAATTGAATTCTGAAGTTGACAAAATGTTGGCAACAGGCATAGTCGAAGAGTGTGAATCAGCATGGACCTCACCGGTTGTAATGGTACCAAAGAAGGATGGTGGCACTCGTGTCTGCGTAGACTACCGTAAGTTAAACGCCATTACCGAACCTGACCGTTACCCTTTGCCCAGAATGGATGATTTGTTGCACGCTGCTAGGAGTACGCAATTTATGACAACCTTGGATTTGCAGAGCGGCTATTACCAAATTAAAGTTTTCGAGGGAGATGTTGATAAAACTTGCTTCACCACTCCCTTTGGATTGTTTCACTTAACCAGGATGCCGTTTGGGTTGCGAAACGCTCCAGCTACCTTCCAGCGGCTTATCGATCGATTCAGAGCAGCAGTACCCGGGATAAACCTACTGGCTTATCTAGATGACTTAATTGTGTGCTCTGCTACATTCGATGAGCATTTGCGTCACCTTGATAAAATTTTTGAACGGCTTGGGAAATTCAAACTGCACGTGAACGACCGTAAATGTCGCTTCTGCTGCTCGGAGGTAAAGTATTTAGGACATTTACTTACTTCCGCCGGAATTTGTGTCGACCC